GACGAGGTCGAGGCGTGGGAGCGCGACGTCAAGCGCAAGGAGAAGCGCATCGCCCAGGGGCTCGAGGGCGCCCAGGACGGCGGCGACGCCGGCGACGTCGGCGAGGCCATCGCGCGGCCGGCCAAGACGGCAGACGGCGAGGTGCCGATGGCCGTCGATGCCGTCGACACCGTCATCGACAGGCACGCGCCCATCTCCGCCATCTCGGCCGCAGCGGCAGCCGACGTCGACGGCGGCGTCAATGCAGCGCTGTGGTCGGCCTCGTCGACGGCGCCGCCAGCGTTATCGGCATCCGCGGCGACGGCATCGATCCCTGCTGCGACGGACGGAGCTGCGGCGTCACACACGCGCAGCCTCACCTCGTGTCTATTTGGCGCGCCGGGGTCGTCGACATCGAACGGTGGAGCGGGCAGCAGCGGCAGCAATGCGGGTCCCAGGCCCCTGACGGCCCTGTCGCTGGGACCTTCATCGGGCGTGCCCTCGCTGTTTTCCCTCCCCGCTCCCGCTCCCGCTCCTGCGGCGTCGGCGTCGACCTCGAGCGCAAACGGCGCGGCATCGGCGCTGGTGGCGAGCATCACGTCGCAGTTTGCCGCCGACGTCGCGCCCGTGCTGGGCAACCGCGGCGGGCACGGCGACGATGCGGCGGTTGATTATGACGACGACGGCGACGAGAAGCTGGCCGATCCCGAGACGGTCCCCTTTGTGCCGCGCTCGCAGCGGCAAGCATCTTCCACGGCCGCGCAGCAGCAGCAGCAGCAGGAAGAGGAGATCAAACTGGGCCAGAATGGCGGCGATGGCGACGGTGACGACGACGAGGAAGAGGACGAGGTGGTGGACGTCAAGGCGGGCGGCAAGAAGCGCAAGAGCAAGCCGCGCTGGTCCAAGGAGCAGAAACGGGCTCGCCAGCAGGGATCGCAGGGGGACGGCAGCGATGCCGTCGCTGCTGTCGACAACGACGGTGACGCCGATGGTGGCGAAGCAGGATCGCCGCCCAGCAAGAAAAAGGCCAGGACCGACGACGACGCAGCATTGCCACCGGTGAGCGGTGGCGGCCGGGGAGGCAAAGCGAGAGTCAAGACGACTTCGGAGTTCGACTTTTCCGGCTCGGCCGCGCTGCTCGAGTCGTCTAGCCGGGCAGCAGAGGACAAGAAGAAAAAGAAGGCCGGCAAAAAGTCGTCGTCGAAGGCTGCTGGTGGTGCTGGTGCTGGTGGTGGTAAGGATGGGGGGCAACGAGGGAACGAGGAAGAGGGGATGTTCCGACAGCCCAAGAAGAAGAATGAGATTCGGGGCGGGAGTAGGAGCGGCACGTTTGCCGGCGCGGGCGCGTACCGGTAGAGGGGCGATGGTAGCGGTGCTGGCGGATGGTGGTGAGCTGCGGATTGACATGGTACCAAGTCGCCGACGCGCTCGAGGGGCGGAGGGCGCTCTTGTACGGTTTCGGGCCCGTCCTGTTTCAAAAGTTGTAGATGGGCAAGATGGTCGAGATGTTGAGGTGTTGACGACACAGTGGGCACTCGGGCTACCACCCGACGAAGGAAGGGGGGCAGGAGAGGAATAGAACGAAACAGTCAGGTCCAAGGACGAAATCGCTACCTCGCGCTCTGCCAGTGCTCGCAAGACGGAGGGGGCGGCCTGCAAAGGCAAGAACGAGAACGAGAAAGCAAAAACGGCCGGAAGGCAGAGGGAGGGGAAGGGAAGGGAGGAAGGGGGCTGGTGGGGCTTACCTTTTCTCTGGCCCAGCCGACGATGCAGTCCCAGCAAAAGACGTGTCCGCACTCGGTGGCGGCGCTGTTTCCGCACTGCGGCGTGCGCTGGTCCATGCAGAGGGTGCAGCGCAGCACCGTGCTCGCCACCTGCTCGAGCTCGGTCGCCAGCCCCTTGGAGGCTGCCTGGGCGCGCTCCACCTCTTCTGCCGATAGCCCCGCAGGCAGCGAGAGGAGAGACGCAGGCGGAAGCGTACCGGCGTCGACGTAGTGCAGCGGTACCGTCCCACCGGCGCTGGCAGAGGGGTGCGACTGGGACGAGGACCGCGGTGGGGCTGCGGATGTCGGCAGAAGTGCCGCGGGCGACGAGGCGTGCGAGTAGACCCGTCCGTCGATCTGGACCGTATCCTTGGACTCGGTCGGTGACGAAGCCGAGGTCGAGGCAGATCCGGAAGCTGACCCGGCGGCCGTGGCGGCATTCTTGGCGGCCCGGCGGCGTTCCGATGCGTAGCCGTTGATCGAGAGGAGCAGCTTGACTCCTAGCTGGATGCCAAGCAGCACGCCGAGCACCTCATAGGACGGCGGCTTGGCTCCCGGCCGCTGCGGTATCGTCGAGATCTGCAGTTGGTGGTGGGGCGTGCAATGGAGCAATCACGATTTGGGATGTCAGCGCGTCCGCGCCTGCTCCTGCTCCTGCCGCAGCACCACAGCAGTCTTCCAACCGTCGGCGAGCGCCATCGACTGCGTCCCCCTCGCTGTCGCGCACTCACATAAGAGACGCCTGCGACGCGCTGCGCGACGCCATAGTACTTGCCGCCGAGGTAAAAGAGCATGAGGTGGGCAGCGCCGGCGTAGGCCAGCCAGCCGTCCTGGGCCGTGACGGTATCCATCGAGGGCAGCTTGGCGGCGAGCAGCGCCACGAGACGGCGATAGGCGCGCACCGGCCGCGAGGACGTCGGCGGGGCTTGGCGGAGGGCGCGCGCGCGCATCCTGGCCCGCTGCTCGGCCTGCTCCTGCGCCGTCGCCCTGCGCGCCAACGTCCTGCGCAGTGCCGTGTAGAGCCGCGTGAGGAGGAAGGGGACGAGGACGTGGAGGAGGATAAAGGCGGTGCGGCGCTGTCGAGTGGGGTTCGAGTGCGATGCGGCCACAGAGAGGGGGGAGCAAGATCAGAGGAGTCAGTATCGGCGCATCTGAACTTCCGGCTGTCCAAGAGGGCAGTGGACCCGGTCCCGTCGAGGGGACTCACCTTTGCGCGGATGATTCTGCCGCGGCGGCCGACCATCATGGCGTTGACGTACTCCTCGCCCAGAGTCTGGTTGGAGCCGCCGAGGCTGGTGAGGCCAAAGTAGGCGAGGCTGCCGACGAGGGCGATCGAGTCCATGTGCGCGTGCAGGGTGCGCGTGCCGACCAGGCCGCGGACGACGTCGGTGAGGTGCGAGGTGAAGAGGTCGCGGTAGTAGACGTCCTTCTGGTAGGCGCGCACAATCTCTGGCTGCGAGGCGCGCGGGAACGAGAAGCGGGATGACGTTGCAGCGGAGGCAGCGGTGGCGGCAATGCGCGAGCCATCATCGCCGGGCGTAGCAGAGGATGGGGATGGCCGTGGCTGCGGCGATGTCGAAGCCGGTGAGGTGGTGCCGACTTCGGAGCTTGGGCCTGCCCGGGGCGGGGAGGATGTGTCGGCCATGTCGGAGCAGTAGTGTGAAGGCTGGCTGATATGGACCGGTGCTGGTGGTGGTGGCGAGGGCGATGGTGGCGAGGGCGATGGTGGCGAGGGCGATGGTGGCGAGGGCGATGGTGGCGAGGGCGATGATGGCGAGGGCGATGGTGGCGAGGGCGATGGTGGCGAGGGCGATAGAAGGCCGTCGGATGGTGTGCAGCGTCGAAGGCAAGCTGAGAGGATGATGGAAGGTGGAGAAGGCCAGGCCAGGCCAGCAGCGACCGACCGACTGACCGGGCGTCCGCTTCCCCGCCTTCCCGGTCCGCCGCTCGGCACACTTGAGCGAATGCAGGCCGGCCGGGGCCCAGGCAGGCCGCCAACAAGCCCGCGTGAAATCGCCACAGCACAGGATTGT